AAAACCTTGCGAGTTGCGCTCTCTGGCCCTTGAGATTTTATTTCTCGTTCTTGTGAGCCAAAAGTGGTGGTTGCGAGCACTTTCCGGCCATTCGCCCATCGGCAGCTGCTGCTTTCAGTAAAGTTCTGTACTTTTCTCCTGATTTGTATTCATTTTCATGGAATAATTAAGCTAAAATTCACAGTTATAATTAGTTTTTTAATCAAATTGTGAATTTTTAATGCCGAATTTGGTTGAAATATCAGCGGAATTATCACTTGATAGGAATTTCCCAGTCCAAACTGTTAGAAAAAATTGAAACTTCATGGATATTCTAGTAGCAATTATCATGAAAGAGGCATTTATTCCGATTTAAGGAGAAAAATAATGAAACTGCGAATTTTTGAACAGCACGAAGACGAGATTTCCCCAATTTGCCTAATTTTCCATCAAAACATGAATATTCACCTATTCCTGATTTCTATAGATTTTTATGGAATAATTTTTGAGCTGAAGCTGAGCTGAAATTCACAGTTCTCATTGATTTTTTAATCAAATGGTGAATTTCCAATGCCAAAATTTCTTCAGATATCAGTGGATTTTTCCTGATTTTAGAGGATCAATTTAGGGAGATCACAAAAACCTTGCGAGTCGCTCTCTGTCCCTTGAGATTTTATTTCTCGTTCTTGTGAGCCAAAAGTGGTGGTTGCGAGCACTTTCCGGCTGCTCGCCCATCGGCAGCTGCTGCTTTCGAACCACCGGACGTGCTTGGATTTTCAGTAAAGTTCTTTACTTTCCACCTGCTGCCTTTTTCTTCTCTCTCGAACAGATAATTTCTCCATCTTATTATCGAGTTTTACGATGTGAAAATAGTCGTTCTCAAGAGTTATATTTCGGTGAAGAAGTGTTTCTTTGGTGCAAAATATGGACAAAATAGCGAATTTATATGACAAAACTAGAGGATTATTCGCCAGAATCATATTCTCAAAATCATAAGACCCTTAATTCACTGAATTGTCTTATTATGCATGTTTGGAAATTTTTGTAGGGGTGAGTGGGGTAAAATAGACACTTTTGACTTTTTAAAAAATATTTATAACGCAGAAACAGATTTATCAATTGAGATCAGTTTGGGCTCATCGCAAAGAGAAAGAATTGTCTCCTTGACAAAAAAATATTCCATTTCATCAACAATTCAACCCGCCATTAACATTATAAAAAAAGCAAGTGTCCATTTTACCCCACCCTCCCCTATCTTCAAATGAAATAATTTCTATCCTCACTTTTACCTTCATTTCTCATAAAATTTCAAGTTTCAGCTGTAAATGCAAATGAATTAAAATAGATTCAAGTAGAATTGAAACAGAATTGAAACACGAAATTTCACTTAATGTGAAAATTAAAACAGAAATTTTCAAATAATAATTTTTCATTGCAAGATTTGCTGAAATTTCGGTAAAAGTGTCACATATTGAAAATTAATTTCGCTTTGCTCACACTTTTAAAAACGAAATTGTCCACGAAATGCCGATTATCAAAATCATAAAACCCACAATTCACTGAATTATCTTATTATTCGCGTTCGTAAATTTTCAGAGTTCAAATGAAACAATTTCTACAGCTTTCACTCGCCGGGACATCTATTATTTTGATTACAATAATACAAAAAAAATATCTAGCATACTTTTCCCCAAAGAGAGCTACACACAGTGGAAAAGTATTGAATCGTGACCCACCCGATGCCCGTAGAATGAATTCAAGACCACATCTATTATTATTCTATCGGGTCGATACGATTCCGTGAGTAAAGGTCTTGACAAGTTTTATAGAACGCGCCGGAATAATTCTGTAAGTGAGGACTGCATGGATAGAACGCCGGTTTTATAGGACAGAGAGATACATCATGGCTATCGTGAGTGTTATTCCCTCCTCGTGCCAGCGCACAGTGAAATGGACGCGGTACATGCTCTTACGGATAAGCCGCGTCGATACAGAATCCAATCGCAGTGATGGATTTTGATCGTGTGGCGACTTGAAATTTACAGATCGATTTTCACTCGGAGTTTGAGCACGTATTCACTCGGTTTTGAGTTACCAAAGTGTCCGCTCATTGCTGCGCATGCATTTGTAAATCACAAGTGGAATCATCGGGAATTCTTCAGAAGGAAAAACGTTCGTCTGGAAAATTCCTCAAATTAAGGCCATAATCAACATTACTTCATTCTATTTTAAAACTTAAATTTGACATGAACGTTTTCTGAACGTGAAAATCTGAATAACCGAAATGGAAATGACAATTTAATCCTCCTGTAGTCGCACGTCTTCGCCGAACGTCTTGGTCGCGCTGCGCCGTCCGTACATTCTCGAGCGCAGCGTTGCCAGAGCCATACGACACTATAAACATATCACCGGCCAGCGACCCCCCACTCCGCACACGCTGCCGGGTACTACCACGAGGGTCGGCAACAGCGCTCGTCAAATTTCCGCTGCCAGAGTGGTCGCGCGGTGAACGCTGCGCTCATTCTCGCTATTGACCAGATTTCAATGAATATCTCGGAATCTAAAGGAGATAGCAAAATTTTTGTTATAACCTTTTCTGCAGAGCCGACTAAGAGCCACAAAAAATGTAATTACGAAAATTTCGTCATCTCCCTTAGATTCCGAAATATTCCTCAAAAACTCAACTGGGAGATGAGTCGACCTGAACCGCTTTACCACTTCGTCTACTGAATTGAGAAAAAAATTGTCAGTGCAGGGCAACCCTGCCGTGTTTAATCTCATCAGGATATATCATTTGAGGAACTCGGAAATAGGGAGAGCGTAATTCATCACATTTCTAGAGATATCGTGAAAATAATAAAAACGGCGGCGGTCAGACCGCAGGGCGATAACTGGAGGGTTAAAAAACCGAAGTGGAATTGCTCGTGAATTTTTCGCGAATGTGGAACAGAAGGAGATCCCGCGACTCTTCGAACCCCCCGAGATAGCCCTGTTTACACCTGGCGCAATCAAGACATTTGATCATTAATTAACCAATGTTTGTCCCTCGAATATTAAATCGCGCGGAGCCCGCAATTTTTTCGCTCTCAAGAGTCAATTGATTTTTAGATTGGCAGCCTCCCAAACACTGCGAAACGAGAGCCTGACTTGGAAAACAACGAAAAAAAAACTGTCCCAATAAGCTCCCCTCGTTTGAATCGAAAATAATTGAAATAATAATCTTCTTGGATTGGAAACGATACACGAGGGCTCCTATAACGAGTTCTCTCACGTATAATGGAACACCAGCAAACACTGAAATCACAAACTCGACCTTTCCCTCGTGCGCGCATTGAAATATATTAAGTGAAGCGGAATACATACGGTTATGGATTTTATCTCCGGGTTTTCCAGCGAAGTGGAAAATTAATGCGCCTGACAATGGTCGCACTCGTCGACCGTGAAAATTAGCAAATTTTAAAAATGTCAGAGGCGCATTTTATCGCCTTGGGCGTTCGGCAATTGGGTCACCTCTGATGTGAACAAAAAATGAGTGTGAAGCAATGTGCAGAAGGGGGAGGGGTTGCAATGCTGTGGATGTAAACAGAAACTTTGGTTTAATGCGAGATTTCTCCGAGCAACACTGCTCGATGACCTTTTGCAAATGGTAATTCTCGCGCCGACGATCTCGATTTAGAGAGGGCGACCCTACGATTTTTTTCCTCGCGGGGTTTGTGAGTTTGTGGATTTGTGAATTTTTCAACAGCAGGGAGATGGGAACTCGTAATTTGGCGCAGAACACAATTAATTGATTAATTAATTATTTTAGATTAATTGACGATTTAAATGGTTACTTGAGTTATCATGATTTCTATTTATTTTTAGGCAATGATTGAGCTGAAATCCACAGTTTCCAATGATTTTTCTATAAAATGTTGAATTTCCTATAAAGAAATGCACCAGATATTTTTGATATTATTTTTTTTCGTTTCAAGAATTTTTGTAACAATTATCCTATTTTTTTAGCAAATTTCGGTTCTTAAATTCAGAAAATTTTGGTTTTTCAATTACGTAAATTTTTTTTTCGTGAATTAATTTACGGAATTTTCAATTCTCTCTTAATTAATGTCGGATTAATTAAAATAGAGAGGGCGACTCTACGATTTTTTTCCTCTCGGGGTTTGTGAGTTTGTGAATTTCTGAATTTTTCAACAGCAGGGAGATGGAAACTCGTAATTTGGCGCAGAACACAATTAATTGATTAATTAATTATTTTAGATTAATTGACGATTTAAATGTTTACTTGAGTTATCATGATTTCTATTTATTTTTATGCAATGATTGAACTGAAATCCACAGTTTTAATTTAATGAATTTTTGTTACAATTATTTCATCTTTTGAGCAAATTTCGGTTCTTAGGGATATTTTTTTTAATTGTTGATTTTTGCTGTTCTACAACTGATCTATGGAGTTTTCTCTTCTTTTCAATCAAGGTCGCATTAATTTTCAATTATATGAATCAAATAAAATTTTCTATTAAAAATTTTGCTATCATTCCAGCAATATTGTTATTGAAAATAGATAAACTCATCCATTTATTTAAATCTAAATGCTTAAATTATTTGACATCAATAATTCATTCATTCCAAATAAATAAATCCTCCATTAGAATCAAATAAACAATTCATTTATTTAGCAACAATTTATTTTATTCGAATGAAAGCGCAAATAAAAATCAAACCTGAACTTGAGTTTGAGTTTGAATAAAATGTGTAAAAAATAATTAATGAATAACGCAGAATGCATATGTTGCTTCTTCAATTAATTGATAGTCCTCATAATTTCCCCTGAATTCACCGTCTCTAATAACTCTCGCTGATAGTGAAACACTCCTCGTGCTCCGGCAAATGCTCCCGCGTAGATAGCACGAAAGTTCTGGTAATTAATCCCTCTGCAAGTCACACTCACTCCCATTTTGTCTCGTGAATTAATCATACTGTTTCATAAGTAATCACGTTCTCCACGTTTCTCTGTTGATTAGGGAAACGAGTCTGCAGACGACGACCGCAACTTGGCACAGGAACGACGGCTCGAGGAGGTCAACACCGAGCCCCAATACCCTGCATCCTGATGCACCGTCTTCACCGAGGACTGCTCCTGGTTCTGTAAGTTTACCGTAGTTTCACGTGATCTCCATAATCCCCCCCACAAATCACCCCGAAAATTCCTCGTAAGAATTCCCCTCGCGGTACAACATGCACCCGAAAATTCCATTCTCGCAATATCCCAGGGACTTGAGCGAAGAACATTGGCCACACAATAGTGATCCCGATGGGATTGTTACGACTTCGTCGTCAATCTCTCCACTCCTGACTGTGTTTTTCCCCGACTTATGGCCCCTCAGTCGGAAGAGAATTCCCTCAGTCTCCCGCTACAGCAGTTCCCTCGATAATTGATGATTCCAAGTTCATTGTTTACACGCTATCTTCGACGGTATTTATATTTCACGCCGAGACGAGTGGTACATCATTGAATTGAACCCCTGACGGTACAATCGTCGTATACAAGTCACTGTTTACACAGCCACAGTACATTACCCCCAGTAATCCACTATTTAGCGCTGTATCATGATAAACCAGTCCTGAATACGTAATTCGGAGGAATGTACTCGCCAGCAGGAGCGAATTGAAATTGCGTGTCACCTGCAATATCCGTGAAAATCGCGTCGAGTGGTCGATCATAAATTCAGTGAAATGTCCATCTTCTTTTAAATTTAATGGTTTAAGTGCGGGGCATTCTGAGATGTTTATTCGCGATCTTCAGATTTTTGTGTTAATTGTATTCTTCGATGAAATGGCAATATGAAGCGCAGGGCTGAGGCAGTGCTCGAGAGGATTCATCTGAAGAGCATTAAAATTAGAGAACAATTATGGGTGGATCATGAGTTTTTTTGTTGTTTGGTGAAGTGAAGGAAATTTCCTCGATGATTGCTTTAGATTCATTCATGTCAGTTATCTCGAGATTAAATCGTTCACATAGTAAAAAATTTTTGGATTTGCATTGTTGAGCTGCATTTGAATTATGAATGTTTATGTTGTTGATATCAAATTAATTTAATATGAAAGAGTTCGTGGGATTGAAAAAAAAAATTTTTGTCTTGAAAATTCACTGGAATTCACATCTTCATATTTTTATTAACTTCTCAATTGATTGAAAATTTACAACAGTAGTTGCCTGCATTTTTACAGTTTTGAAAATTACAATTTCGTCAGATATTTCAGGAAATTAATTTGTCAGGAACAAAATGCATTAAAATTTAATGTTAATCAGTCGTCATTTAAAATTTCAGTACTTCTTACTCGAAATTTCTGCTTAATTTTCTAGCAATGTAGGCTAAATGATTTTTTTTTTCTGAAGTCTAGTGAAAAAAATCTCTAAAATTAGAATTAAGAGTGAAAAAATCCCTGAAATTAACTGAAAATAAGCGATCGTTCCCTGAAAATGTATATAAATAACCCAATAATTTCTCACATCCCAAGTGTCACGTTCACTATTATATTACGTGTTTACTATTATTTTCATTCTTATCTTTTCAGCCTTCACCTGGACACCAATCAATCCCTCGAAATATGGAGAGACGACGTGCTACGGAGATTAGTCGCACTCAGCGACGTATCAAGGCCTCCAGTACGCCAACACTACTCGATCACGATGAAAGGTAAAATAAAAACTGTGTTTTATATTAAAAAAAAAATCTTATTCTCATTATTTCCAAAAACGTCGTAAATTATTAAAAAAACGTTTTCAAAAATTCTTGAGATCGTCGGATGGACTCAGAAATGTTCAGTTGTCGTTTCGTTACTCCCGAGGCCTTTTAATGACATCCAACTTTTCTACGGAATTCATTATAACTTGAGAAATTTGAGGATGAACATTATGACTCCTCAAGAATTCACGATCAATTCCACTTGAGGATATCCAAGTAGTTCAGATGCCCAGGATTTTTTTCTGGGTGAAATCCCCTTCAGAGTTTATAGAATACACAGGAGTATTTTTTAGGTGCAATGTGAACCTCAGTTACCGAAATTTTCCTAGAAAAGGATTTTTCAAAAAATTAAATCAACACATTGCGTCTATAAGAGCTGCCTTGAGCGAAAAATGTACCTTTTGTCGTGTTGAATCAATTTACTTGTGGACGAAAATAAAGTTTCCACCAAAAGATGATAATTTTCGTAGTAGTAATTGTCCTCGTGNAGTGAAATGTCCATCTTCTTTTAAATTTAATGGTTTAAGTGCGGGGCATTCTGAGATGTTTATTCGCGATCTTCAGATTTTTGTGTTAATTGTATTCTTCGATGAAATGGCAATATGAAGCGCAGGGCTGAGGCAGTGCTCGAGAGGATTCATCTGAAGAGCATTAAAATTAGAGAACAATTATGGGTGGATCATGAGTTTTTTTGTTGTTTGGTGAAGTGAAGGAAATTTCCTCGATGATTGCTTTAGATTCATTCATGTCAGTTATCTCGAGATTAAATCGTTCACATAGTAAAAAATTTTTGGATTTGCATTGTTGAGCTGCATTTGAATTATGAATGTTTATGTTGTTGATATCAAATTAATTTAATATGAAAGAGTTCGTGGGATTGAAAAAAAAAATTTTTGTCTTGAAAATTCACTGGAATTCACATCTTCATATTTTTATTAACTTCTCAATTGATTGAAAATTTACAACAGTAGTTGCCTGCATTTTTACAGTTTTGAAAATTACAATTTCGTCAGATATTTCAGGAAATTAATTTGTCAGGAACAAAATGCATTAAAATTTAATGTTAATCAGTCGTCATTTAAAATTTCAGTACTTCTTACTCGAAATTTCTGCTTAATTTTCTAGCAATGTAGGCTAAATGATTTTTTTTTTCTGAAGTCTAGTGAAAAAAATCTCTAAAATTAGAATTAAGAGTGAAAAAATCCCTGAAATTAACTGAAAATAAGCGATCGTTCCCTGAAAATGTATATAAATAACCCAATAATTTCTCACATCCCAAGTGTCACGTTCACTATTATATTACGTGTTTACTATTATTTTCATTCTTATCTTTTCAGCCTTCACCTGGACACCAATCAATCCCTCGAAATATGGAGAGACGACGTGCTACGGAGATTAGTCGCACTCAGCGACGTATCAAGGCCTCCAGTACGCCAACACTACTCGATCACGATGAAAGGTAAAATAAAAACTGTGTTTTATATTAAAAAAAAAATCTTATTCTCATTATTTCCAAAAACGTCGTAAATTATTAAAAAAACGTTTTCAAAAATTCTTGAGATCGTCGGATGGACTCAGAAATGTTCAGTTGTCGTTTCGTTACTCCCGAGGCCTTTTAATGACATCCAACTTTTCTACGGAATTCATTATAACTTGAGAAATTTGAGGATGAACATTATGACTCCTCAAGAATTCACGATCAATTCCACTTGAGGATATCCAAGTAGTTCAGATGCCCAGGATTTTTTTCTGGGTGAAATCCCCTTCAGAGTTTATAGAATACACAGGAGTATTTTTTAGGTGCAATGTGAACCTCAGTTACCGAAATTTTCCTAGAAAAGGATTTTTCAAAAAATTAAATCAACACATTGCGTCTATAAGAGCTGCCTTGAGCGAAAAATGTACCTTTTGTCGTGTTGAATCAATTTACTTGTGGACGAAAATAAAGTTTCCACCAAAAGATGATAATTTTCGTAGTAGTAATTGTCCTCGTGAGACATTTATACGTCTTTCGGGTAAATACATTCGTTCTACAGAGAATTATATGAGACTCCGGTTTTATCAAGTGAATGTTATTGAGTAGTATATCTTTGTCCAATAAACACTTATAATTTCCATGGAACAAATGATAATTTCAAGAGGAAACTACAATTTTCTTGCCGATAACTGTGTTATTGGCAAAACTAAATAATTTCGAGGGGACAATTTTTTTGGGAAAAAAATATTCTTTCCTCGTCAATGGAGTTCTCTCAGATCAAATGCTTGTCGTACAATAGATTATATTTTTTCCTGCCAACAGTTCGAATTCTTCTCGGGATATTTCTGATGATCACGACGAAAATTTAATTTTTGTGAAAGATATTAAATTTCCTTCTATCAAGTTGGTTAATTCCCTCAAGTAAATCTGTTCCACTCCATCAAATATTCTCTCGCGGAACACCTAGTTCTTCGGCAGAGCTAATTTTTTTCTCCCAGTGCATTCAAGCGAATAAAAATCACATTTGGGATGGACTTAGAAATCTTCACTTGAACTTCAAAAAAGATTTTGCGTTCCAATTACACTCGTATTTCTCCAAAATTGTGCTGACTCTCATCTCGGAGTAGAAGATTCTTCGATTCTTTTTCACAATGAACGTAAAGACGTCACTTCCTTATACTTCCCCCTCATTCGGATGGCATTAGTGGCTGAACATTTCCCGACGTTTCTAATTACAGTCTCAATGGGAGATCCCTGCTGGCCGAAACGGCTCTTCTGACACTTTTCCCCGAAAACGTTATGACCGCACCTTTTTCTTTTTCTCTCCTATCTATAAAAGATGGGATCACTGCAGGCACATGTGGCTATCCACCTTCGTTAAGTCCCATTCATCTCTTTCATAATGAGATGATGATGTTATTGGATATGAGATTTTATCATCCTTTGGGGGATCTTTCAGTTGAGTAGGAAATTGTGTCTAGATGAACTCTTTAGTTGAAGAGAAAATGAAGTACGAATAGTTTATTTAACTAAATGAGTAAAATTACTTCATTAATGATTGAATAAAATAACTCAATTGATAACTCAACTTCGTAATAATATATAATTGATTGCAAGAAAAATGAATGTTGACCGAAATTGGAGCGAATTTATTCGACTAGATGAGCAAAAATTGCTTAATTAATGAGTGAACTTCATAATAATGATTGATTGCAATAAAAGTGGACGTCGACCCAAAATGGAGCTAGTCATTTAGAAAAATATTCAATCTTGCCTGAATTCTTCGAATTGGCTTCAATTTCCTAGCCTTCGCCGCATCAATCAAGAAAAAGTTCGCGGTAAAAAGTGAACGACTCAAAATCGATGGTAGGAGCATCAAAAACTCCTACCCTGCCGACAAATTTCATGGAATATACCCATTCTTCCTCTTCATTTCTCTTCAGAGAACAAAAAAAATACGAGAAATTCATTCAAGTGAATAAGTAAAATTACTTACAAAATTACTTGAATTAACGACAATTCTTAAAAAATTTTCTCGGTCGACGCAAATTGGGACATTCTTTAAAAAAGACTGAATAATTTTTAGAATAAATTGTTTGAGTTTGTTATAATTAATGGTTAAACTTCATAATAATGATTGAGTGCAATAACAATGAATGCCGACGCAAACTGGAACGAGTAATTTAAAAAACTATTCAATCTTGCCTGCATTCTTCGAATTGGCTTCAATTTCCTAGCCTTCGCCGCATTAATCAAGAAAAAGTTCGCGGTAAAAAGTGAACGACTCAAAATCGATGGTAGGAGCATCAAAAACTCCTACCCTGCCGACAAATTTCATGGAATATACCCATTCTTCCTCTTCATTTCTCTTCAGAGAACAAAAAAAATACGAGAAATTCATTCAAGTGAATAAGTAAAATTACTTACAAAATTACTTGAATTAACGACAATTCTTAAAAAATTTTCTCGGTCGACGCAAATTGGGACATTCTTCAAAAAAGACTGAATAATTTTTAGAATAAATTGTTTGAGTTTGTTATAATTAATGGTTAAACTTCATAATAATGATTGAGTGCAATAACAATGAATGCCGACGCAAACTGGAACGAGTAATTTAAAAAACTATTCAATCTTGCCTGCATTCTTCGAATTGGCTTCAATTTTCTAGCCTTCGCCGCATTAATCAAGAAAAAGTTCGCGGTAAAAAGTGAACGACTCAAAATCGATGGTAGGAGCATCAAAAACTCCCACCCTGCCGACAAAGTTCACGGAATAGACCCATTCTTGCGCTCTATTTTTCCATATTTTCTCATTGTGTTATTCCCTATTGGAGAGATTTTCGCGTGAATTTTTCCTAAAACGTTTTTCTATTTACTATTTATTCATCTCGAGGGAAAATGTGCCTGACACATGACCCAGGAGTTGTCTACCTGCACGTACCCCTAAATGTTCTTTCCCTCGGCTCTTCCTGGAAGGAACAGAGAGCAGACTCGCCGACAGTTGACCACACACTGAGACCCCATTCCACATCCGCTTTGTGTACATGCGGTTGTCGTCACGTCTCTCTGAGGGTCTCCCATCCCTCAGAATTTCGTTCCTATCAACACCGAAGGATGATGAGTTTGAGGGAATGGTGAATTATTTATTTAATGAAGACCTTAATGAGCGCGGGAAAAAGACATTTGGCGCAAACCGTAAATTCTCATCCTAAAGGGGATGGAAAAATCTGAAGGATAGCTTGAAAAAATTGTTCTCTCTACAGGAACTGAGTGAGACGAGTTGAAGGCGATGTGAACAGTGGACTCCTCCCTTTGCCGCAAGGGGCTTAAAAGATGGCGGCGCCTCCACCTCGCATTTTTAAACATTTCTTGAAGTTATTTATCCTCTTCAGATTACCCTCACCTCACTTCCTCCAGTTTCTATGGAAGGAACAAATTTTTTAAGCCGTATTTCAGTTTTTTCCTTCCCCTTTCGGCTGAGAATTCATGGGGCAAAAATTTCCCCGCATTTCAGTTGTCTTTTCTTTACACCGGAGGCTTTCTTATGAAATTCATCATAATTTGAGAACTTTCTGTATGAACATTATTACTTGACTATCAAGTTCTAATACAATTATTTTAAATTTATGTTCTAAATCGACGATGGATTGATGACACGAATTAGTATTTTACGACAAGAATAATCAATTGACAATGTAATAAAAAATTGTAAAATGTTTTGGACATTTCATTATTATTTTTTTAGTCTCAAGTCCTGTTAACACAGGTGACGTTCACCTGATGCAGCTTAACAAATTATTCTCGTAAAATCATCTTGTTTTTTCTCTCAATGGCCTCATTTATTTAACGAGGAGGGGAGTGAGGTGCCGAATTAAACATGATAATTCCATAAAGTCACCTAAAATCAACTTTTTATTTGTTCAGTCATCAGTGGTCCATAGACGACGGCCATCAGTCCCACGAAGAAACGTCAAGAAGACGAGACTTGGGCACTGAGCATCCCCTGGTCGAGGCGACAATCCCCTTAGTTCGACATCCGAGACTTCAGGATGCCACTGGTTCCTCAAATTCCCAGAGTACGGAAACCCCGTCTTATCGTTCTCGTGACAATTCCCAGCAGGAGAGCGTTCTCCAGAAGTTTCGTAAAAGTTTTTCCCTTCGTTTTCACAAACGAGGGAGTAAGGAGGGGAGCACCGAGGGCGATGGCCAGTCAATCGCACAACTACCACCGGCTCTACCTCCAGATGATGAGGCCGACTCTGCTGCATTGCGGGGTCTGAGCATTGAACAAGAGCGGGAGAACGATCCGCCGGAGTATCAGCAGGCACAGCAGAAGGAGGAGTTCGGAGGGGATCAGAAATTTCGGTTGGTGTATGATTAATCTTTTATGAATTGTTATTGTTATTTATTTTAATTTATTAGAGTATTCTAACATTTTATTTTCGTTGGATTATGATTTTCCATTTTAATTTCGTGAAAATCCAATGTCGTGGAGACATTCACCGGGTCAAATTTAAATTGACAAAATGTTGGATAATTAGTTGGACTATTGATTTAAGTGAATTAAGTGAATATCCAATTATTGGAGCCAACAGAATAATTTTCTGGTGATCAGAAGGGAGAGATTGGTTGATTCCAATTTACAAATATTCAATTGGAACGTTATGCATGTCTAAAATGTACTGGGAATTTTAATGGAAAAAATTGGAAAAAATTTCAACGGGTGACGCAGAAAATCGCAGATTTTCGTCAAATTATTCCTTTCAATTAGAAAGAATTAGAAAAATTTTAATTGTGAAATTTCTGTCTCAATTCTACTTGAAACTGTTTGAATTTACATAAATTTACAGTTGAAACCTGAAATTTTTCACGAAATGAAAGTAGAAGAAAAAATCGAAATCATTTTATCTGAGCATGCAAATAATTTCAAAGAAGAATAATAAGGTAACCCAATGGATTATGGATCTTATTACTTTGAGAATCAGCATTCTGCGAATAATTTGATCTTCAACAGTGTGACACTTCAGCAAGTGACACTTCTACTGAAATTTCAGAGGATCTTGTGATTGCACGATCATGATTTGATGAGAAAATCAAAGGGAACTGTATACTTTCATCAAATTATTCATTTCAATTACTGAGAATAAGAAAAATTCAAGTAATTCGTGAACTTTCTGTCTTAATTCTGTTTAAAACCATTCGAATTCACAGCTGAAACTTGAAATTTTATACGAAATAAAGATGGAAATTATTTTATTTGAACCTACATAAATTTCTAAACATGAATAATAAAATAATAGAATGGATTATGGGTCTCATCACTTTAAGAATCAGCATTCTGCGGATAATTTCTTATGCCCACCGACGACAGATCACCAAATCAAAAATCTGATCTGCTGCCGAAAAATTTACCAATACTTTGTTCATGTTTCCTCGACAAAGCCTCAGCATGAAACTGAGAATATCTCTCCCAAAGTCAACTTGAATGATAAATATTTCGCCCCAAATTACATGATTGCTGTCCCACCGTCATTGTTATTCCAATAATTATTCCAATAAAAAATAATTCCTTGCATTTGACTATTGAATACCCGACCCAACAAACAGCAATCTCGTTGAACCAGGCAAAGATATTTAGGGACAACTCTAAACTCATTTCTCGCATAAATTACTAACATTATGCATCATTTGAATTTCATTCAAGATTCGGACCCCTCGTCTGGCGTTCCAGCAAGGAACGAAAGAAACATAACAAGGCAGCACGCAATGCCAAATGCAACAGCGGAGACAGTGGTATTCAAATTGAGGTGAGCTTACTCACGAGAATAAACATTATAATTAGACGAGAGGAGCGAAAAATTCAAAAGGGAGGAAAAATTAGGCTCTCGTACAGAGGAGCTTCGTGCTCAATGCATTATTCATAAATCCGCGAAATGGAAAATATTGAGGGAACGAAAAAGGGGAGATGCATAAGTACTGGCCATTGATATCCGGGGGATTGGGAGGGTAGAAGCACATCGAAAAACCCACATTTGCTATCCTCTCGCAGATGGTATCTGGCGGAGCGTCGACTGGGGGCTGCGGAGGCGGAACGAACATTGGCGATAGTTCAGAGTCGCACGACACCGATCCGCCGGACGAGACCGACAGTCCGCCGGCATTGCGGCGTCGAGTCAATGAAAAATATCGACCCCAGTCAGAGCTCATCAACCAGATACTCATCGATAAGTTGAAGGTAATGACTGAGTTGGGTATTGAGCGCTTTGAGGATATTCAAGGTTTTTAATGGTTCCTGGGGATATCCAAGTATCTTGCAGTTTCGTACAGAACACACTATAGAGTCAACCGTTTTCAATCGTCAAATTTGTCACTGATAGGATGACTGATTTGGCAATCTGTTCAGCAACTGGGAAATTGCTTTCGTCACAACGTAGTCAATATATTTTTGCTAATCAATTCACAATTTACTTCTGAATCGAATTTCTATTACGATGCCCCAACGGTAAATTTTTTTACCTTTCCCTGAATATTAGTTTCAAAATGAATTTTTTCAATTATCGTAAAAAACTTGAAATTTCGGATTTGACGAATACAATTCTTCCATTCAGAAACAAAATTGAGAAACAATTGGCTTTTGATGTGTTTTATTGTTTTTTTTTGAAAATCTTCATTTTTTGTGTTTTTGGAATTTTTCAATTTCCTTCACTATATGAAAACGATTTTCTTAAGATAAAAAATCTTCATTTATTTTTAATAAACGATTTCTTTCGAATCAATAAATTGTTTTCTTAATTTGACAAAGTGTCACTTGGAATTAATAAATTCTTTATTTGATATAATTAAATCCTTTCTTCCGAACAATGTAAAAATTTCAAATGAAGATGTTAATTTGATTCAAATGAACCGACGTGCTCTCCCCAAAAATTCCTGGTGAATTGTCCATTAAAATTTCAATTATACCAGTGTAAAATGTGTTCGAATATCCTTAAAACCGTTTTGTGTCGATATGCCCTCTCAAAATATGATGGATCCCACACAATAGTTGAATGTATCGTCCCATGGCGAGTGTTATCAGCGCGCGTGTTCATATCACGTTTGACCGCATCCTCGGGAAAGAGACAAGGCACGTCTCGTGCCATTTTCCGTTGAGTTCCCATTGTCGTTTGTTGTTCGTCAATTTAGTCAGTCGTCAAATCATCCATTGTTTCTGTGACGCAAACAATGAAAATTGATATGTCTCCAGGCGGACTTGCAGCAGAGTCGCAGCACTCGTCACTACAACGTGCGTAGAACGAACAGTGATCTAGGGGGTCAGAGACTTCTCCAGTGGGACACACGCGGCTACGGTAGTGCCCTTCAGTACAGGAGAATGCTGTCAACCCCGTCTCCCATAAAGACGCGACCACCTAGGCTCAGCCCGAGACATTCCTCCCACGACATCGTTACGCTCAGAAGGTAATTCATCCACGAGATAATTCACCCTCTTCATGTTTCTTATCGCCATGAATTTTATTTTTTGTTAGTCTAAATTCATTGTACACTGTTGGAAAATTAAAGTGGGGTGAACTCCATCTCTTCAAGGGAATTCGGGGAATCTATTCGGAGAGTTTTAATTGAGAACCAAATGAATTTACAAATTTCAGGAGGAAATAGGCCAAATTTGCTTCAATTTTCCCAATTCTATTCTTTTTTTTCGAAATGGATGGTTTCTGGGGATTTTTTCACCAAATTGTGATTTTTTAAGGACGAGATTTATTGATATTTCAATCGAAATGATACAAAAAATTAAAACTTGATGGATTAGGAATTTTGAAAAGGAGAATTGATCCATAGAAATTTGGAATTTCAATTGAGAATCAAAAAATTGACAGATTTCCAGCAGAAATCAGACGAAAAAGTCCAAATTTGGTTGAATTTCCCCAATTTTAACCATTTTTTTTGGAAATGGACGGTTTCTATAGATTTTTTCATCAAATTATGATTTTTGAATGGCAAAATTTATTGAAATGTCCGAAAAAATAGAAACTTGATGATTTAGCAATTTTTTAATGGGAAATTGATACATAAAATTTCAAGTTGCAATTAAAAAAGAAGTGAATCCCCAAATTTTAAGTGCAATTGAAACAAAATATTAAAACAAATTATTTGAATTTTCATGATTTCACCTGATGCTCACTGAATAATTGAAATATAATCGACAGTTTCCATTGATTTTCCCATCAAATCCCGATTTTAAAGCCGATATTTCCTGGAATTTCACTGGAAACATCACAACAAAAATGAATCAAGATCAAAATTTCAAGTGTCACTTGAAAATTGACCTGAATTCATAAATTTCAAACAAAATTGCGTTAAAATAGACAACTAAAATAAACAATTCCCCTCAATTATCTCATAAATTAATGTTTCTTCAACGCCAAAATCCCCGCGATAATGTCACTCGTTAAAAAATCCTCAAGTACCCCAGCAATTTCACCCAAAATTTCCAGCAGTGTACACCGTTAAAATTAATTTATCTTGAATCACAGCATTAAGAATACTCGTGCTTCATATCATTTAACTGGCATTTCTCTGTGCTGAGCTCAATGTTCTCTCATTTGTACTAAAACCGGCGATAAGCGCCTAGAGTTAAAAAAAAAATAATAAAAGCTCTCGAGTTTAGCACGATTGACTTTTACAATGCTCTCTGTCACTCGAAAGAGGGACAAAAGAAGTACATGAGAAAGAAAATGGAGAAAATGGTTGGGCGCCAAGTAAACGCCGTCTCTAAGGCGACAGTAATATTGGCAGCATTATAATAGGAGTCAAGTTTCTTCTACTCATTTCTATTCACTCCTCTCAGTCGTCACAACTAAACATTATTCGAACATTGTTAACAATTTATTTGATATATAAACACCTATTCGTATTTTTTTTTTTGATTATTCATTTTTTCCTGATAATATGAAATGGAAAAATCGGCATAAATTTAAAAGTTATTTGTTCGAACCTTTCCAGTAAATCGAGGGAACCTAGTGGTAGGTAGACGGGCACTTGAACCATCTCATAATAATTAAATCCTCGTAAACAGTCTTCTTTGGATTGCCAAATGACCAAAATAATAAACAATACCATCACCGTAATATTTGTTCGTATTTAATCGCATACATACGTATTTTTGCTGAATGTTCTTGTAATTTATCGAGCTTTATTTTGAGTAATTACTTGAAACACGCTTGTGAATTCCTTCATGATATTATCCCTGTTCTATACTTTTGACACCTATCTATGACCCCAACACGATGATCTCGTGACAGTTGCAGTAACCCCTTCCCGCCCCCACCTCCTTCTTCCTCGAATCATCATTTGAGATGTGGAAAAAAAATGAGAAATGAAAATTGCACGGAAAAAAGTGGATAGATTTTTTTATTTCATAAGAAAGTGGTAATTAATTTTATGATTGATGTTGTTTTTCAAACAACTATTTAGTTGATTTAATTATTTTTAATAATTTTTTTGAATTTTTATTGTTGTTTATTCTATTTTTGTTTTTACTTTTATTGTTGTATTCAATTTGGAGGGAGGGGGGAGGGTAAAATGAACAATGAGCGAAATTGAAAATCAAGTTTAATGGAAATAAGACTGAAATTGACAGTTTCCACCCTTTTTCCTGCTAAATTGTGATTCTTAAATAACAAATTTTCCTCAAATTTCAGTAGAAATGTTATAGAGTTCAATTCCGTCAAAAAAAGTTCATGAAATTTCAAGTCTCAGTTCAAAATTCGAGTGAATTTCAAAATTTCAAGGAAAAATAAGACGAAAAATCCCCAATTCCCTTGAATTCTCAGGACTTTAACTAATTTTCGCTGAATAATTGCACTGAAATCGATAATTCAATCGTTTTTTCAATAAAATTATAACTTTAAACAGCGAAATCTAATTCACAAAAAAATGTTTATTAATTTTCGGATTGATGTTTTCCTATGAAAAACTACTTAATTCAATTCACATAATTTTAATTGACGTATTTAATTAGGAGGGAGGGGAGAGGGTTAAACGAACCATCAAATACCGTAAATTAAACTTAAAAATCAAACTTGATTTGAAAATATGAGAATTAAACTTGATTTATTCAAATCGTTTTCCTGAAATTAAACCATTCACTTGAAAAAATAATAAAATTCAGGAAAATGTCCTGCAATTTCTGAATATTTGGCATTCCTTTTTTCCGTGCACATCAATCCACAACTCCCACGAGTCCACTGCTGCCATAAAATCCCCATCTGAACTGAACGTATTAATTTTTCATGACAGTAACGCAAAAGGGAGAAACTCTCGAACGAATCTGAGACGTTCGCTGAGTCAACCACTGGGAATAAATCAACTGTCACCACTAATGCGCACCAAAACTGCAGGTGAGCAAAAATTCATGGACAGCAATGGAGTTATTATCGATTTGTATTTTAGAATATTATCTGTTTGATGATGCACGAGGCCACGGTTAATTTTTCTGGTTCACGGGCCATTAAGTCGCTATTTTCCGTCGATGACCGTAGCCTTTACGGTTCTATAGCCACCTAATGTCCAGTGATGTAGATGTAGAGGTCTTTGTCTTCAGGCTATCCTTGAGTTGATCAGTAGACTGCATGCTTGAATCATCCGGAGTAGAGTGTTTTCGTTGGGGGGAAAAACAATTGAGATTAGCTTTGATTCATGCACACGATGAGGGATTGGTAATGAGGATGCTTAATTCATATTTTATGGTCAATACACTGAGAGAAATACAAATGTTGGAAAGTGTTTTGTTCTTATTTTGAAATCGTGTCCTTGGATGAATGAATTCGTTTGGGGATTTTTTCTGTCAGCGTTCGGCAAAATCGCAATGCAGAATTAAAATTATTTTGGAACGTACTATAAAGTCAGTTAACTCTGTCGTCATTTTTTAACATTTTTATTAAAGGAATCTTCAGTCGTGATTTTTTAAATTTTTAAATATCTTGTAAATTGATTTTATCAATTGAGTTTGGAAAATTAACGATTGTTTAATTAATGGAAAAATCAAATTCAGGTAGAATTAATATTATTAATATTATTTTTTAATTTCAATGGAAAATTAATGAGGTTTAGGTAATTAGAGGTAAATTTATTTTAATAGTACTCGAGTAGTGATTTTTGCGGATCTCTGCTTTCTGTTTAGAATTTTTTTTAATATAAAAAATAATAAAAAATTAGATTTTGATTTTTTTATTGGGCAGAAAAGGGCTTTAGAGGAATGAAATCCTCAAATTTATTATCCTAACGCAATTCTCAAACGATTTTTTTTTGAGTTTTTGGAATTTATTTTCTTAAAATTAGCTGAGGTGAAAAATTTAACAATTAGTAATCTTCAACTGATGGAAAATGACTAAAAAAATCTGAAAAAGTTCATACTTCAATGATGATGACGATGTACTTCAACTTGAACAATTTTTCATATTTTTCGACTGTAGCAATTCCGAGAAAAGAATATACCAAAACCCCAAAAAAGATTTTTAATGAGCTTCATTAAGTTATATTTATGCATTTATTCTGTATGTGTCAACAAAATTCAAGTCAATCGATTGAGAATTGCGTCATGAGGACACATTTGAAGATTGCATCACTAAAAAAATTAAACTCTAATTTTTTAGTATTTTTAGCATTAAAACTGAAGTAGTAAACTCATCAGAAAAATTAATGAAGACCCCTGCGCTTTCGAAACTCCATTAAAATTATAAACTATCAAAAATTTTCAACACTAATATTCACAATATTAATTTCTCTCAGTGTATAAACGGAACATCACATCTATTTAATGATTTAATGAATTGACGACAATAGGTGCGAGATTTCCTGGTGGTAATGTCCTCTCGGAGGACGAACACGACCTGAGATGTGGAGGAAGCGGTGGTATTGGTATTGGAACGTCTGATGATGAAATGATGTCGGACTCGGAGTCATCGATCGCTTCGCTGACAGAGAGGAAGAAGTCTTTTGAGCAGGCTATGGACGAGGAAATAGCCATACTTGCTGAGGCTGTCTGGGATCACGTGGCTATTGAACCTGAGGAGCTTGCGTTCCGGGCTGGGGATCTTATTGATGTGCTTGACACACTTGATAAGGACTGGTGGTGGGGCAGTTGCCGGGGCGAACACGGATGGTTTCCTGCCGCATTCGTTAGGGTAAATGCTCTTAACTCGATGAAAAGAGATATTTAATGAATAGCCATTCGTAATTGGAGTGCTGCATGAATTTTATTTGTTGAAAAATTTTATGGGACACGAAGATTGAATGAAAAATAATGAGCAGAAGAATTCGTATTTAAAAAAAACATTTTGAAAAATTAGTTTTATCAATTGAAAAATTTGAAAAATTTTATGGGACACGAAGATTGAATGAAAAATAATGAGTACAGGAATTTGTATTTAAAAAAAAAAATATGAAAAATTAGTTTTATCAATTTTACGGTAATGAAAATGAATAAAATTGAAATTTTAAACGATATAATGTTTAGTTTTTTATTTAATTTGAAGTTTTAGTAATTAGAAAAATACTTAGTGAATAGTGAGTCGTAATTGGAGTGGTGGATGAATTTTATTTGTTGAAAATTTTTATGAAACACGAAGATTGAATTCAAAATAATGAGTACAAGAACTTGTATTTTAAAAAAATCACTATGAAAAATTAGTTTTATCAATTTTATGATAATGAAAGTGAGTAGAATTGAAATTTACAGTTTCCATTGATTTTTTCATCAAATTGGGAATTTTCAATCACGAAATATCTTGAGATTGCAGTGGCTTCACCATTTTATAAAAATTCCTAAGGATTATTAAACGATAAAATGCGTTGGATTTTTATTTAATTTGAATTTTCAGTAATTATAAAAAATATTTAATGGATAGTACTCGTAATTAGAGTGTTACATGAATTTTATTCATTAAAAAATTATGCGGGCCACGAATATTAGATGCAAAATGATTAATACAATATTTTGTATAAAAAATATATAAAAAGAATAATTTTATTGGTTCTCTATGATTGACTTTTTTAAATGGCATATGACGCATCTACACTTTATTATTCATTAAAATTCCATTCTACTGATGAAGAATTAATTCTGATAGTTTCAATTTAATGAAGACTAATAAAATTAAAATTTACGGTTTCCACTGCTTTTGTCATCAAATTGTGAATTCCCAATTACGAAATTTCGTTGCATTTAAGAGGCAGCGACTTTATAAAAATTGCTAAAAATTTTAAAAAATGAAAATGGAAAAAATTGAACGGAAAAACGTGTTGACTGTTAATTTCATTTGAGTATTAAGCCATTATAAAAAAATTAATGCTTTATGATTTTTAAAAATAGTTAAGAGTCAGCCAAGACGAAACAGTGGAGGATCGTCTGGCAGCAATGGTATCAGGAGCTGATTCAACCCAATCCCGCAGACGTACAAGCATCTCATTGCTCTCGAACGAGCAGGTGAGGAGTAGTGTTGTTCGTGAACTAGTCCAAACTGAAAGGGATTTCGTGAAAGTCCTGAGGGACGTGGCGGAGGGGTACGTTGCAGAGTGTCGCAGGCGCGTGGACATGTTCACCGAGGATCAGATCGACACGATATTCATAAATATTGAGGATCTGCTGGAGTTTCAGTCCGAGTTTTTGAAGGATCTGGAGGCACGCATCGACTGGAGTGCACCGCACAAAAGCTGTGTAGCTGAGTGTTTTCTTATTCATGTGAGTTGAACCCAAAAATTCTGACGACTAGTTGATGTTTTCAATTTATTATAAAAATTCTAGAATGTGCCATGACATAAAATTAATTTCGCTGGACTTTTATGGGGATATTGCAGTGAAGTTGACGATTTTTGGGGGAAAGTCAATAAGCCACTGCCAGATTTAAAGAATCATTAGGATGAATCGTGGAGGAGAGGGAGAAGAATGATAAATTATAGCGAAGGGGAGGTTCTATTCAGTAGGGATATATCATTTAAAGGCACATTATATTTTCTATAGAGGTTGTATGCTATAGAGGTCCGGAATTATTTATGCATACACGTGGAATGGAGAATTCGTTCAATTGTTTACCCTTACGATGGACAATCATTTGAATATGGCATTGTTATTGTCGAAAGATAATTGTTTTCATAAGTCTAAAAAAATTATCAGATGGAATAATCGTGGGAAATAATTTAAATACAGAGAAACGGTTTTCGAATGTACTCGGAATACTGCAACAGTCATCCAATGGCAATGGTAACTCTGCAGGAGCTCTACCGTCACAACCGTTACAGCAAATTTTTCGAAGCCTGTCGACTGATGCGTGGCCTCATAGAAATTCCCCTGGACGGTTATCTACTGACACCCGTCCAGAGGATCTGCAAGTATCCCCTGCAGCTAGCTGAACTCCTCAAGTACACAAAAACCGAGCATCCCGATTATCACAAGATACGAGAGGCTCTCGATGCTATGCGAGCAGTCGCCGTACTGATAAACGAGAGGAAAAGACGTATGGAGAGTCTGGAGAAACTAGCCGCTTGGCAACTCCGACTCGAGGGATGGGAGGTAATGGCATGGTTTTTCTCTTATTTCAGGATCATCACATAACCGGATTTCTCGGCGGGGGCATTACATTGTTTGGTCTTTCAGGGCGAAGACCTTATCGAGGTGTCTTCACAATTGATCTACCAGGGTGATGCTGTAAGAGTTACAACTGGAATGTGGACAAACAACATAACTCTTTTCTTGTTTGACCACCAGCTGGTTTATTGCAAAAAGGATATTTTGAAGAGGGATACTTATATCTACAAGGGACGTATTTATCTGGATACTAGTGAGGTCATTGATGTTCCTGATGGCAAAGGTAATTTATTCCTCATTTCGTGGGATTTTTTACACATGAAAAAAATTTAATTCTCCTGCATTTTTATCTTCAGTCTGGAGTTGCATTTTTTGCAGACAATTTCGTGGGAAGAATTTGAAAAAAATTAATTGAGGTTCAAACATTTCTTTCTGATCAATGAAAAATTTTATCAATTTTAAAAGTTTGTAAAACCTCATTTTTTTGCATAAAATTGAAGTCTAATAAAATTAGAAATTAAAAATTAATGGATTTTTTGTTTTATTTTCAGAAATGAAAAAGTAAAATGTCTTATAAACCTTATTTTTCCGCATAAAATTCATTTTCTAATAAAATTTTGCAGCTTATTTTCCCTTCTTTCAACAAAAATGCTTAATAAAAATTGCACAGACAAAATCAGTAAAGAAAACTTAACAAATTTACATCGGAAGATGTTGTATATAAAATATGAAAAAAAAAAATGTAAATTGTAAAAAAAAAAAAATTCATGAATTTTCTCTATAAAATCTTATCATCATCAATTTTGAATCCTTATCATCTTCCATAAAACGAATTTAAATATTCTCAATTAATTTGTTCGAATGTTTTGATCAGAGCAGAAAAAAGTACCACATAAAATTTAAAAAAACACATCGTAAAATTTTGTACACGAACCATCTAAAAATAATGAATTGTAAAGAAAAATCAAAATCTCATGATCACGATCAACTGTTAATCCCCATCACCTTCCAGATCACCAGCTTGGCGTCACAGTGAGACACTGCCTGAAAGTCTACAGCTGTGTCCGAGACAAGTGGCTGCTCTTCTGCTGCCGATCAGCCGAGGAAAAGCGTAAATGGCTAGCAGCAATGGCAGAAGAGCGTCGACTAGTCGAGCAAGATCGCAACGAGGGTCTCGAATTTCCAGCAGCAGCTCGACAACTGGCGCGCCTAGCAGCAACCAGACAACAGCGCTGCAGACCCCCAATGAAGCCCAGAAATAAAACGTACAAGCACGAGGCCTACGAGATGCCAGTGTTCCAATCGAATTCATCAAATTCACTAGGCCGTAAAGTTGGCACTTGGTTCACATTTGGCAATAAAAAAGGCACGAGAATGCGGCCCTCCTGAGCCAGGCCCACCTTCGTGCCATACATTGACTTGTGATTGGATTATTAAGCATTAATTAATCGTCTGGGGCACGAGGGTCATGATTATCTCAATATAAACCCTAGGGAATTCCAAACTACGTCGAATTTAATGAGTATTGTTGCCAGATGCAGCACATTGTAGACGTGTGAGCACAATTGTTGTTGATTATAAATAGTCATTGAATTAATTATAGTCTGATAACTACTCTAATGCAACGACATCAACCAACGCCAAAGCCGCTTGTGAAAACATTTCCAGGAGTTTGTAGAATCTCTAGGTGATTCGATGATTTTAGTCGAGAAAAATTTGTGACAATAGAGACATTGAGGCGGTACAGATCTTCATTAGGTAGATATTTTAGTAGTGAAGCAAAATGTAAAGGTAATACATTGATGGTTGTACTTAATATAACATAATCAGTTTAATGGAAATGTAACGTCAACGAAATGCAAATTTGTTTTATGAGAAAACTTCCGAGATCATCTTTCAAAGACTGAGGGCAAAGTTGAAGGGAACTACATGATAGGAATTTTATGTGGGGAGATATTCCATCCTAACTATCGACTGCCTGTTACTTCTGCGCAATAATACAGCACCGAATATTATTATGAGGAGTGGAGAGTCACCCGAACGCTCTATCAGTCACAGCACAAAATGCTTTAGCTGTAGTGATGGGACACTATGATTTCCTTGGGCGTAATTTGGGAAGAAGGGGTTCAATGGAAAATTTAGATGATTCTGTGAGGATTCCTGCGGATATTCAGTGGAGTTTTCAGGTGAAGTCAATGAATTTGTTCGTACACAGAAGTTTTTGCTATGAAATTGACGATTTTTGAGTGAAAGTCAATCAGCCACTGCCAGTTTTAAAGAATCATTAGGATGAATTGGGGAGGAGAGGGGGAGGAATGATAAATTATAGCGGTAGGGAGGGTCTATTCAGTAGGGGCATATTATTTAAAAGGCACATTATATTTTCTATAGAGGTTGTGAACGACTGTTTAAAGATATCGTGGTTAATCGAGCATTTTGGATAATCCTACATAGACACGCACATCTTTTTACGAGAAATATAAAGGGTATTATAGTTTGACGTAAATGATTAGGTGAATGCTTACTTCACTCAGGTGGTAACAGAATAACAGAGAAGGGTATGGGGAGCATTGATATTTCTCGAATTATTCTTCAGCAACTGTAAAAATAATGAGAAAAACGTACTAGTAGATTAAAGAGACGACAATATAATTGATTGAGTAGTGAATTTCTTTCTTATTAAGTAAGAAATGTATAAATAGGTTTTAATGTTGGGGATCAGGAGTTGGAGGCTAATTACGTACAATATTTGTTGCTGAACACAACTCTTTTCAGAGTTATTTTTATAGATGAAATTGTTGTATTGGATGTGGGGGATTGACATCTTCCGAGGATTATGGGGAGGTGTATTTATTGGCGTAGGTGGGGGATTGAGTGGAAGTTTTTTATTGGCGAATGTGAAAAGTGAATTGAAAATATCAGACTCGTGGTTTTTCGTTTTTATGACTGATGGAAAATTAATGAGTCTGAAACTTATTCATTTCTCATTATTCCTCGAAATTGAATGTCACATGTCTGATATTTTTTGTCCAGTCTTCATATTCCATTTTATCCAATAAAATAATTTCACGTAATAACCCGATGCAGAGGATTTCCTCCTCAGAATGAGAATTATTTATTCTGGGAGATATTGATAATGCCGGTAATAATTATTATATCGATAAAGAGATGAGTGGATGACACTAGAATTGTTGTGAAGTTAAAAATTCACGGGGAGTCCAAACCATATCTTATTTGGAAACCAGAATTCAAGAGGTGAATTACAATGAATGACACAAAAAAATGAATAAAAAATTGAAAATGGAGAAAAAAATATCACCAATTGATTTTGACATGACCTAATCAGTTATCCCTGAAATGCACACGTGCAGTTCTGTGTAAATATTGGTTAAATGTATTGGATAGTTGTAAATAAGAGTAGTAATTCGTAGAATTGAAATAGATACATTCGACCAGCCTATCTAATGTGAGTGTGAGAGCACCTTACTCATTATTAGAAACTAAACAGGACTTTTCCTTCGACTGTTTCGTTCCATATGTTGTTGAGACAAAGTTATCGGTTGTCCGGAATTATTTATGTATACATGTGGAATGGAGAATTTGTTCGATTGTTTGCCCTTACGATGTACAGTTTAATCATTTGAATATGGCATTATTATTGTTAAAAGATAATTGTTTTCATATTGGAGAGGAAAATATATAGTATATATTTACACACAGACACACATGATATATACTGAGTTACATATGTGTAAATAAACATTTTATAATTCCAATTGGTGGCTTGTTTGGTATTTATTAAACCTTTTGACAGTATTGTGATTTTTTTCAAGTTGTATATCTCAATGTTGTGAATTACATTGAGATGGAATTATTATTTTCAGAGATATTTTGAAATGTGATTGGAATATGGGATTACTTTCAGACAAAAAAAAAGGAAAATAAAATTTGAAAAGACGAGAACTATAACTTTCTTGTATAATTTTATAATTTTTTGCGGTTTCCAAATAAACTTATTATTATTATTATTATTATTATTATTATTATTATTATTATTATTATTCATTTTCAGATGAAATAGCTTGTGGAATTTCCAATTTATCTCGAAAACTCAACACATTTAATTTAATTTTTTTCATTTTGGAAATTGAAGATTACATTCGATGGAATTTTGAATAATTTGAGAATTTAGAAAAATAGTTAGAATTGTTAGAATAGCTAGAATTTTCGTTATTTCCAAAAACTGTATTCTCACATGCACCTGAAAATTAAAATTTCATTAAATATTCTAGAAATTAACTGATTCGTTAACCACATGAGTAAAACTTCCAATAAATCAGACGCTATTAAGAATTTCGAGATTTTTAATTGGAAAATTTAAGGAATCATTATTTAACAGTATCACGATATATTTTTTTATTCAAGTATCACGATATCTTTCTGCAATGCAGAATTTTTTATTGGAAACCGGCATTTTGCATTCTGCACATTTCGATATCCTTCTGCAATGCAGATATTTTTATGGGAAACCAAAATTTTTCTTTCTACATATTTCGATATTCTCGATGGCCCTCACAAAATCCCTCGAAATCCTCGAAAAATTCTCTCCAGGGGGGCCCATTTTTTCGCAGAACAAATTTGTTCCAGCATTTCCCCCCCCCCTACAAAAAACCCACCTAAAATGCACCCCCGCAAGAGCCCAGACACGTGGGTGTCAGCGCCGCCGCCCGAAATCCACCTGCAATAATAAAACCTCCGCCACATGAGCCGGTCTGGCCATTGCTCATGTGCACTACTGCCCCCCACCCCGAGCGCTCGTGGGTCGATTCAGCATTCCGTACCTTCTATCAACCAACAAGGACAGCCAACACGGAGCAATCGATGAATAGAGAGGGGAATTCTCAAGAAGAAAAAGAGGAAAGCATCATTAGAGCAGGAGAAAAGCTTGGGGGGTGACTCAGTGATCACCCAACCCTGGCCTGTGATAGGTGCCGTCCGCAGGGTGGCGCAAGCCCCATTGGCTCGTTCCCAGAATTTTTATCACCACGCAAGCACCGCCGAGCGCGAACGAGAGACGGATAAAACCTGTGGGCTATCGGTTTATTCGCAAACGCGTAGAGAGACCGCGTGGAAGGCACTTCGTCGTCTTCACCAGGGTGTCGCGCGTTGACGTGCAACACGACCAACATCGTCGTCCCCGTCGAGCCGTTCCTCGTTGAATAATTTTTTTCCCACTCGTTTTGGAAGACCAAATCTTCGGGGGCCGCAGCGAAACTCTCCACTGGCTGCGATTTACCCTTTTTTTTTCTTTTATTTCGCGAGGAGGGACGATGGTGCGAGCATTCTCCACCAGTTTGGCTATTGGCCTCGCCCTCATGGCCTGTGCCGTCTTTCCGCGGACCACAATGGCCATCGATCTCAGCAGATTTTACCACTCGCACTCCAAGCGCTCGGGTAAGTTGGCTTTTTTTATTGATTTTTTTTTTCATCTTGGTAGTTTGGATTTTTGTGCCGTCCTCGGGGGGTCGGCGGCTGTGGGGCTTGTTAAGTGGGAGTGCCCTTTCGGCAGGCTCGTACGTTTCCATTCTTCGGCGATCGATAGAAGTCTGAGGGCGAGCAACAGTTGCTGCCCTCCGCGGAGAGGCCGAAACGCGTCGGGGAGTGTGGAAACAGGGGGAAATAAAATGCGGAGGAGGTTTGGGGGACCATTGCTGGGGAGAAAAGGGGGATTGCAATTGATGAGGAACGCGGGGGTCATTTTAATGTAGACTGAGACAGTGACTTTTTTTGGTAAATTTTTATTTACCTGTTGGAAGTTTTTTGAAAGTTTGGGGACGGTGGGAGAGTTAATCTCAGGAGAGCGACGTTGAATCGGATTTAGGGAAAAAACGATTATGAAATTTCATAAGTTGAGGGAATTTTTAGGGGAACATGGGTATTCGGAAACAAAATGACATGAATTTTCCATTTTTCCCTGGGTTTTCCAGATTTTTCTGAATTTTCACAGAGTAATTGAACTGAAAAATCAAGTATTTTATTGATTTCCAGATCATTGCAACAGAAAATCAGTGGAATATTTGATTTTTCAATGACAGGATTCCCTAAAATTTCAGTGGAATTTGGACACGATAAAAATTTCCGGAATTTGGCCCGGAAAATTCCGAGACAAATTTTTAACATTTGAAATTTTATGGAAGATATTATAGTAAATCTCAAGAGAGCGACATTCAATCGGATTTAGGGAAAAAATGGTCATGAAATTTCAAGTTTTAAATAGAATTCACGGAAATTCGTGAGCTTTCAGTGGGAGTGAGATGGAAATTTCACAACTTGATTGAATTTTTAGGGGAACATGAATATTCGGAAACAAAATGACATGAGTTTTCAATTTTTCCCTGGGTTTTCCACATTTTTCTGAATTTTCAGAGTAATTGAACTGAAAAATCAAGTATTTTATTGATTTTCAGATCATTGGAACAGAAAATCAATGGAATATTTGATTTTTCAGTGCCAGAATTTCCTGACATTTCAGTGGAACTTGAACACGATAAAAATTTCCGGAATTTGACGCAGAAAATTCCGAGAAAAACTTTAACAGTGAAATTTTATGGAAGATATTATAGTAAATCTCAAGAGAACGACATTGAATCGGATTTAGGGAAAAAATGATTATGGAATTTCAAGTTTCACACAGTTAAAAAATTACTCCTGAACTTTCAAGTAAAAAATCTTGAAATTTTTAACAATCACTCATTCACGAAAAGATTTTCATGTATTTTATTATTGAAAAATCAGTTGAATTCTGGAGTATTCAATGAAATTGCAACTGTCAGGTCCAAATAATAATGAAAATGATTAAATAATTTGAAAATTCACGCAACAATTACCCTGAATTCCCAACCTGAATAAAACATTTCAGTAGCGAAGTGGTAAAGCGGTTTAAGTCGACCCATCTCCCAGTAGAGTCTCTGAACAATGTTTCCGAATCTAAGAGAAATAGCGAAATTTTCGTAACGACATTTATTGTAGCTCTCGATCGGCTCTACAAAAAAGGTCATAACAAAAATGTCGCTATCTCCCTTAGATTTCGAGATATTAATTGAAAACTGGCCAACAGTCAAAATCGACTTGTCTCGTTTTACCACTTCGCTCCTGATTTCACCTTAAATTAAATTCAAATTCACAACATTGAGGATTGAAGTGCAACTGCTGCTTAATTTTCCGAAGAATTCAAACAGTGTAGGGTGAAAAAGCACTGAAAATCGAGTTCGTTCGACGATTACTCGACTTCTTCGGTAATTTTTCCTCAACTTTTTTCTCCGTCTGCTCGGACGAGCTTTTCGAATGGGAATGAGGGGGAGGGTGAGGCTTGCAAGAGCATGTTTCCGAGGAAATTCAGCTGCAATTTAGGTCAGATTGTATATATCGGTGTGAATCAACGACGCGGGTTTATCAAGGTCGGGTGGGTTATTTCACCGGGGATGGGATGAATGCGTTTACCTGGTTGTTAAAGTTTACACTCGGGGGGAGGCGAACATTCCCGCAAACGGTTGGAAGTGCATTTATGGGGGTGATGGGCGGGGAAATTTCAATCGGAGACGAAATTCGCTGCGCTGTACTGTTGAAAATTATTCGGGAGATTTTTAACAAACATCTATTTATGGGGAATTTTTTTGGGCAAATCAACAGTTTCTGGGATATCCGGGGAAAAAATTATTTATAACTAATTTTCTATTTTTTTTATAAATAATTAAAAACAAGGAAATTTGTTAATTTGTTTGTCGGAAGGGATTTGTTTATGTAATTTTAATTTAATAATTATTTATAACTAATTTTCTATTTTTTTATAAATAATTTTTTCTTACATTTAGTTATTGAAAAATTAATTGATTTCAAGAATTTTCAGAATATTCAGGGAAATTCAAATTGTCAGGTCCGTGCATAATTAAATATTATAAAAGTCTTGAACTGAAATCAAACCCACACTTGAATTAAAATTGACAGCGAATGCCAAGAACTTTCTAACAATGTGGCAAAAAAAATGTAAATAAATTTAACTCGAAACTTTTATTATCGTCCGAGTTTTTTCATTGGGGACCGGAGAGTCACTTTACCTGGAATAAAATCGCGATAAACATGGGTGTGAATATACTGTGCTCAAGGGACTTGACATGGAATAACAGGAAAAATGAGGGAAATAACTCGGAAAGTTGTGCTTTGAAATTGCCTCTGTGGGGAACGACAACTTTTTAAGTGGGACACAAGTAGCCAAATTAGGCGCATAAAATTGTTGATTTCAGCAACAGTTTATTCTGTGAAAAGCGAAATCGTTAGGAATGTGTAAATTAGCTTTTGTGATGGCCACAATGGAAGCTATTTTTACTTTTACATGACGTATTGATGTATTTTTTTCTTTGTGAAGATATCTTTTCTTCCTAGAAATGATCAGAGTGATTTCCTCGTGAATTCAGGCATCAATTTTCGTTTTAATGATTAAATCGATTGATTAATTCATTCATTGATGATTGATAATAATATTTGCATGTGAAAAATATTTTAGAAAACGAAAATTTTGCTATTAAAAACTGTGTGTGAGGGAGGGGACTCGTGAGGATTTATTTTAATAAATGGAAATAGTTTTCAAGGAACTGTTAATTTTCAAAATTTAGTCTATTTTAGTTTGAGATAATCAATAAATTTGGTACTTCTGAGTGGGACACAAATAGCCCGATTGGGAGCATAAAATAGTTGATTTCAGCAACAGTTTATTCTGTGAAAAGCGAAATCGTTAGGAATGTGTAAATTAGCTTTTGTGATGGCCACAATGATTGAATCGATTGATTAATTCATTCATTGATGATTGATAATAATATTTGCATGTAAAAAATATTTTAGAAAACGAAAATTTTGCTATTAAAAACTGTGTGTGAGAGAGGAGACTCGTGAGGATTTTTTTTTTTAACAAATGGAAATAGTTTTCAAGAATCTGTTAATTTTCAAAATTTAGTTTAGGTTAATTTGAGATAATGAATGAATTTGGCGCTTGCAGGAGACGCATGCCACCCTTATGAGCCGTTCAAATGCCCCGGCGATGGCACATGTATTTCGATTCAATATCTGTGCGACGGAGCCCCAGATTGCACGGACGGATACGACGAAGACTCTCGCCTCTGCACAGCTGGTAAATTGCGGGCCCTTAAATAACCTGAATCAGACGGTTTTTCGTCGATCCAGCCACCTATTTTTTTTCCAAGGTCTCCAAAAATTTGACTAAAATTCGTCTTTCAGCAAAGAGACCACCGGTGGAAGAGACCGCGAGTTTCTTGCAGTCTCTCCTGGCCAGTCATGGACCCAACTACTTGGAAAAGTTGTTCGGCAGCAAAGCGAGGGATGCCCTGGCACCCCTCGGTGGTGTGAACATGGTTGCTATCGCTCTCTCCGGTGAGTTTTACCCGTCGATTCATCATATTTTGTGAGTTAAATTTTCCTTTTCATGTGAGGGATTCCGAGATATTTATGAATTATTTGTATCCAATTATTGGCGTTGGATAATTAGAGAATTTAATGGAAATTTCGTCATTAAATTAGAGAATTTAATGAAAATTTCGTTTTTAAATTGGAGAATTTAATGAAAATTTCGGCTTCATGTTTATGTCATCATGAAAATGTTTGTGACGCGTGAAAATTCAGGGGGTTGTGCCTCATAAATCGTCGGATTCTGAGTGACTGATTATATTCCCATAAGGAGAGCTAAATCTTTTCTCAATTATCCTGAATTTCAGTAATCGTCTGGAGTTTTGACTTGTCAGAAATATTTGGGGAAGTGTCTGGTATAAATTTTAATGTTTCGAGTGAACAATGCAATCAAAACAAAAAATATTGTAATCGTATTGCATTTTTTAGTGCAGTTCAGTTGGGCATTCGTGAAGTGCCAATAATCACTGAAATTCAGGGGTAAAATTTTATTTACAAACACAAAAATTTAAACGTAATTTACGCTGAGTGAGATTTCTCATGCATTGAAGATCGATCATATAGGTCTAAGAACGAATAATTAGTGCAAAAAAAATTAATTGATTATTATTCGTTTGCTCCACAGACGCTTAAAAAATTGAAAATAGTCCAGGGCCTCCAATTTTTGAACTACAGACGTTGTTTTTTTAATTTTTGAAAAAATGTGTACAAGAACAATTGCGAATTCGTTTTTTTTTTCAATTTGACTGCTGCACAGTTAATTTCGTTTTGTTTAATATGAAAATTTGCGCCATTCATGTAAAATCGGCTCCGACTTGAAGCGTAAAATCCACTTCAGAAAGCGTAAAAGACGACTTCCGAAACGTAATTTACGTTCAGGTTTTCCTGTGCGTGTTTATATAATAAATTCTCATCTCAAGCAACCCGTGTCTCGTTACGTATTCCCTCAGAGTCATTACCCCTCTGATCGCCCCCATAAATTCCCACTCTGCTGTTGGCCATGATCTCCCCCAGACGTCAATCGTCTCTTCACCCCCATTCATCCCGATAAATCCCCGACACTCCGTCTCTCCCGGCTCGATAAATTAATCACTCTCGTTGATCTCCGCAGAATCACAAACAATCAAACATTTCACAGCTTCGAATTATTTATTCATTTATTTACAATTTGATTTTTGAAACAATTCAAAAAATAAAAAAACTAATCGATGAATTAAATTTTAATTGATGGCGACTGATAGGGCTTGACAATACCTACATTTGATGAAAAAAAGATTCAATTCCATCGATTAATTAGCGAAAAATCCAAAACTGACATTTTATCCCCAAATTTCAGTGATTAAATTCCCAAAGTTACTGTCAAAAGTCTCAAAAAATAAGTGAAAGATTTCTAAACATTAAAAACAAAAGTTTTTTCCTGCGATAATTCAGCGTCTGGGGAGGGACATTTCAGCAGTTGGCGACCCGCATCCTCTCCCCACAAATCCCCAGGCTCAGTCTCCCCCGGCTTAATAAATTAATTACTCTTGTTGATCTCCTCCCCAGAATCACAAACAATCGAAGATTTCGGGGCTGCCCTCCACCTCATGCGCTCGGATCTCGAGCACCTTCGCTCCGTATTCATGGCAGTGGAGAACGGCGATCTTGGTATGCTTAAATCCCTCGGAATCAAGGACTCGGAGCTCGGTGATGTCAAGTTCTTCCTCGAGAAGCTCGTCAACACCGGCTTCCTCGATTAAACACTTTTCCCGAATGACATTACACAGAAGGCAGTTGTGAAACGCGTCATCGCGCCTGCCTCCTACGCTTTTTCCGCGGTAATGGGCCCCGAGGGCACATCCAATATTGTCTTTAGGAGTTTTACGAGAGACATTTGGAATTTAATGTAATCCATCACTTCACGAAATAGGTGGGAGTGCAGTGACGCGGGAAATGGCTATGTGCCCTCTGATATCAATTTTGTATACGAGACATTCTGCGCTGTTTTACCTTGTCAACATTTTTTGAAAAGTTTTTATACGATTTTCAATAATTCATTCCGCATTACGTTCCACAATATATTGGACAACATGTTTAATAATTTGTTGGGCAATGTATTTGATAATATTTTGAGAATATGGTGAGACATATCGAATAATATTTCTTCATGATATCACATAATTTTTGGATTCGTCAAGTTTCCAATGATTTTTCATTTCGATCATTATGATGAAGAGGTGCTTTTGGACTAGACATTGAAAGGCATGAATTAATCAATACTTTAATTGGTTGTATTCATTAATATTCGTCAATATTTTTGAGTGGAGAATTAAATATTTTCGGTGGAAAAATGAATATCGCTCTGAAATTTTTCAATACCGAATATTCTATTCTACAATTCAAATAATATATTGAATGACACATGCCATTTCAAATTCTTCTACATTTCACAAGAATTTCTTCAATTATTTACTAAAAATTATGAGTTTGGCTTCATTCTCTCTTCCTGATAAAAATCGGGATTTTATTTGAGTGGAATTAACGTGGAATATCCCAATCTCTTTTTTCATTAATATTTGTCAATATTTTTGAGTGAAGAATTGAATATTTTCGGTGGAGAAATGGATATCGCTCGGAAATTTTTCAATACCGAATATTCTATTCTACAGTTCAAATAA